GTAAACTGCTATATGGAAAGTGAATTTGCTCTGTAAATCTTCACCCAAATCACAATCAATCAATCAATAAAACTTTCACCCAAATCACAGTAAAAATTTTAAAAAACCTATGTAACATATCAAAGTACTATGACTCTTTTAAAATAATGTCTAAGTGGTTGTCATATTGGAGTCCTAAATCTTAACAGTATACACCAATTTTATATTAAAACCTGTATAAAAAAATTACTTTTCATGGGTGAATTGTAATAAATTAAAACGGGAAAAATTTTAAAGATTCCTCAGTTTTGTTGGAAGGATTTCTCCTCTGTAAAAGAATACTTTTGACTAGTACTGTACACAAGCACCTCCAGTATTAACTTTCATGCTAAATGAATTCTTAAACTTGCAGGAGTCAAAATTAGGCCCGAGGAATTCTTTGAAAAATTATACTAACATTTGATACTTATTTATTCTGACAGATATATATGTAAGAACATAGGTAAGAAAGGAGCCTGCTTCCATTTATAACTCAAAGTTGTAAGCTGTGAATTAGGTATATACAAGTGTTAACAGTGACTTCCCAGCAAGAGTGCTTTGGATGGTTCGGTTAATTAAAAGCTTCAAGCTTCATGGTTTTCTGAGGAAAGTGGACGGGATTCAGGAGTGTTCTATAGCTTAATAAAATCAGCGCTGCGGACCAGAGAGACTATTCCAGGTCAGATAACACATTGTGCAATTCGGCCTCTAACAGCAGAAGTGGAACTAGAAGCAACCGTGATCATCGAAGATAAGAGGACTACTTGAAGTCATCCTTACACTTCAGTCTTTGCATTTTTCCAGAGCTAGGAGCTCTGGTAGCATAGTGGCTAAGACACTTGCCTGCTAACCAGAAGGCTGGCGGTTCAAACCCATCAGCCACTCCTCGGAAGGAAGGTTGGGCAATCCTACTTCCGTAGTGATACTGCCTCTGAAACCCAAGGAGGGGTCGCTATGAGTCGGGTTTGACTCGACGGCACATAACAACAACAACAACAAGAAATCTCAAGAACTAAGCCGCTTGTCCCAGCCAAACAATGAGCAGGTGCACCTGTCAGAAAACGGCGGCCAGGCCTCGCCTCAGCTCACCCGTTCTCCTTGGCCCTTTCTTGCTACCACCTCCATCCCTTCCCATCCAACTGCATCTCACGAAAAGAGCACCGAACGGGGAGGAAGAACATGGTGCAGCGCCAACCGCCTCAGCCTTTCTACTTCCTCCCCATTCCACACTGAATGCAAAGGCACACCGCCTCAAAGCCTCGTGCAAGGTCTGCGATATTTATAAATAAAGTTTTTTTTTTTTAAGCACAAGTAATTTCCCCGCTCCCTTCCGCCCCTCACCTTCACGAAAGCAATCGGGGTTGTGGTACCTTCGATATCTAACAGGATCACAGTGACTTCGGCAGGCACCGAAAGCACGACCATTTCCCTGCCGGAAGCTACTACTGGTATCGGCCTACTGGTTGGAAGGGCGGAGGATGGCGGCAGCTGCAATTCCTAGAACCGTCCTGGGCTCCTGAAAGCCCCGCAAGAATCTTGGAGCGGCTAAAAGCGTGCTGCCTGAAGCGCGCAGGTAAGAGGCCGCCTCACCGCACCTGAAAGTGAAGAGAGCGGCCGCACAGGTTTCCAGAACTCGGAAGCTCTGGAGGGCAGAAGGCCGACACCACGTGGGCAACGGAAGGGGGCGGCCCTCGCCGGAATCCGAAGGGGCGGGGGAGGAAAGGCGCCAACCGGGATTGGTCGCCAGAGGGCATCGAATCTGATCCGTCAAAATGGGCCTAACGTGGGCGGGAACAAAGAAGGGAACGCGGGAGCACAGTGCGCGAGTGCGCGCTCTCCGCAGACTGGTTGAGCGAGCGGGAGAGGCCCGGGGCACGTGCAGACGGGAGCCCCGCGAGTGGCGCGCCGGGGATGTGAGTGCCCCTTGCCCTCTACATCACCTAACCCCCTCCCCGCCCACTGCCTCCACTTTTGCATATTTACAGTAATCTGACCCGGCCCCTGCCCCTCCTCCCTTCCTCAGAGCACCGAAGAGGCCGTATTGGGTCCCGGTTTTCGTGACTGCGTTGGTCTGGGTTCCGGCCGATCGGCTGGGCAGGCCTGCCGCGCCCCCTCGCCGGCGTGCCTTTGTCGGTAGCGGAAGAGGCTCTCGCACTTCGCCGTTGCCCGAAGGGGTTGCCGGGCACCCGCTTCCTGTTCGGCTGGTTCCAGCCAGCTCGAGGACAAAACACGCGTGCGCGCGGTGGATGGGCGCGCTCGCCGCCTCAGCCAGCAGCGCCGCGCGCAATCAGTCTCTCTCCGGAGCAGCTTGTCCACGGTTCTAAAGCGATAGCAGCAGCCGCCGCAGCCTCTCCGCACTGGGGGACCGAGGGAGGAAAAAGGCGGGGTTGGCGGCTCTTTTGCTGGGAGTGGGCTGGACCGGACGGCAGACAAAGGCTCTCAAGGCAAGAGGGACTGTGGTCCTGCGACGGCGCTGCTCGGGTTTTGTGGCCCAAGGACTTTTCACCCTATCGTTTTTTTTTTTTCTCTAATTCTCCTCTCATCCCAACCTCGCGTCCCCTCACCCGCGATCTCGCTTGTCACCGGGAGGGCCGAGATGGAGGTCCCGCCCCGGCTTTCCCATGTGCCGCCGCCATTGTTCCCCTCCGCGCCCGCTACTTTAGCCTCCCGCAGCCTCTCTCATTGGCGGCCGCGGGCGCCGAGGCAGCTCGCCCCTCTCCTCCCTTCGCTCGCTCCCAGCTCTACCCGGCAGGGGGCGCGCCGGGCCCAGCGCCACGTCACCGCCCAGCAGCCCTCCCGATTGGCGGGCGGGGCAGCTATAAAGGGAGGGCGCAGGCGGCGCCCAGATCTCTTCCGCCGCCATTTTAAATCCAGCTCCATACAACGCTCCGCCGCCACTGCTGCCGCGACTCGGTCTGCGCGCCAGCACCCTCCTGCCGACAACTCTGCCGCAATGGAGGACATGAACGAGTACAGCAACATAGAGGAATTCGCAGAGGGATCCAAGATCAACGCGAGCAAAAATCAGCAGGATGACGGGTACCGTACGCTTCTCCTCTTAACTCCCCCTACCCCAGCGCGTCGCGCGCGCCATTCGTCCCTTGAGAGTCGCGCGCTGTCCCCGGTCTTGCCCTGAGTTCATTCCCCGCGTGCTCGGTAGGCCCTACTACCTTGAAGAGAAGAGGAAAGTAGAAGACGAAGGGGGTGACTTAAGAGCCCGCGAGAGTGGGGGGAAGGGCGGAGGAGGGCGGCGGTGGCGGCTTCTGTGTCCCGAGTGCGCAGGCGCTGCTAGTGGCCCGGGGGGAGGGGCTGGCCTCGCTGCGCCACATGCTGCAGCTGCTGCCGCCTCTTCATTGTGTCTCTGAGTGCTCCGCGCGGTTTTGCTGGAGAGAGCGAAGAGAAGTCCTGGTTTGGGGACCAGTAGGCGACTGATACCCAGAAAGCCTGTGATGAGTGTCTTTAGGTGGAACGTTCGGCTGACAGCTGAAGAATAGGGTGGTCTTAAATTGGGGTAATGATGTTAGGAAGTAGGTTTGAGGTAAGAAGGGTTTGGGCAGAACCTTTAATGTGTTTTGCTGGCCCGCTATAAATTTTGTACTGTGAAGTGTGAAGAGGAAGTTGGTCACTATTTCTTAGTAAGTTACCTCGAGGAATTTTGGGATTTTTGTGGAGTATTGTTTATATGTGTGTGTAAACACGGATTAAATTGCTTGCCGTTAAATCACCTGCTTATTTCACAGTTAAATCTAATTAATCTCAAAATTGAGCTAGACAGTTGAGTTGGTAATGTTTTAAAAAGCATACGTTTTTTATTTTTAGTAAAATGTTTATTGGAGGCTTGAGCTGGGATACAAGCAAGAAAGATCTCACTGAGTATTTGTCTCGATTTGGAGAGGTTGTAGACTGCACAATTAAAACAGATCCTGTCACTGGACGGTCAAGAGGATTTGGATTTGTGCTTTTCAAAGATGCTGCTAGTGTTGATAAGGTAGGAATGTGTTTTGCCTTGTGTTTTGCAGATTGTTCTGGGGTTTGGTTTTACATTGTCAAATAAATAAATCCTATCTTCTAGGTTTTGGAACTGAAAGAACACAAACTGGATGGCAAATTGATAGACCCCAAAAGGGCCAAAGCTTTAAAAGGGAAGGAACCCCCAAAAAAGGTTTTTGTGGGTGGATTGAGCCCAGATACTTCTGAAGAACAGATAAAAGAATATTTTGGTGCATTCGGAGAGGTGGGCCATGTGGTTCTGTTGACATCTACCTTTAGTGTTTGATATGCTTATTAAATGTTTATTTTAGGGTGTCTTACAGAAGAAATGTATATGGCAGCTGAGGATAGGATTGAATTTCTGCTAGGATCCCTTCCAGTGACTATACCTTAATTAATTACTGCTTCTTGTGCTGTAATGGAAACTACAGCGTCTCACTTATTTTGGCCAAAGCATGGGTGTTTTGGTGTAATCTGTCTTTGAACATAAAAACTAGTTGCTGCATGTATTGGATACAAAATGATACTGAATAAAGTTTTAGCCTCTTCCCCTCAACGTTTCATACACAAATCACTGTGAATACATGATAAAGCAGTGATTTCTAACAAATTATCTGACAAGAATAGTGTTGTATTATATTAAAGCTTGAAAAAGACTTGTGACATTCTAAAACTTTTTGGTAGCTTTTCAACATTACTGGATGATCTTAGGCATGCACCTTGATTTCAGATTGAAAATATTGAACTTCCCATGGATACAAAAACAAATGAAAGAAGAGGATTTTGTTTTATTACATATACAGATGAAGAGCCAGTAAAAAAATTGTTAGAAAGCAGATATCATCAAATTGGTTCTGGGAAGGTAAAGTCATTTTAATTATATTAAGTAAAACTTTGGAGATTTTTTTTCCCCTAAAATTTTTTCAATCGGAGAAATATAACTTCCATAAAAAGTTAATGTGTTTGTGTTTGTTTATAGTGTGAAATCAAAGTTGCACAACCAAAAGAGGTATATAGGCAGCAACAGCAACAACAGAAAGGAGGAAGAGGTGCTACAGCTGGTGGGCGAGGTGGAACTAGGGGTCGTGGACGAGGTGAGGCTTAGTTCTAGTTCGTGGGAAATGGCTTAATGGTAAAGCTGTGAGCTGCTAAACAGGAGTAAGCCTAAAAGAACTAAAGCCAAATTTAAACTTAGTAATGTTCAAACATGGAAAAGTGCCCAGCTTAGTGGTTTTTTGAATAAGCTTACAAAGTTTTACCTTTCCAAAGAATGGCCACTTTGACAATTAGTGTCATCACTGGTAGGCGAGTATCCTGTTAGTGAGTTAAGTGAAGATTACGTGATAGACCATGGCATGATAGGTTTTCTTGGGCAGGAGTCCTTGTTTTAAGCAGAACAGTTGACTTCTCTTTGGATTTGTCCTGATTTCCCATTAAATTTAAAAGGCTTGATAATGGCGCAGTTGGGCTTTCTACCCCACCCTCCTTTGTTTTCTTTTTTATGACAACTAAAAAAAATTACTTTTTCAAGCAGATAGCGGTATAGTTTTTTCTATCTTAAGATTTGCAGAGTGAGGGACAAGAATGAGTTACATTAGAATTGGGGGTCCGAAGTTCTTTGCTAACAATCACTGTGCATTGTTTCAGGTCAGGGCCAAAACTGGAACCAAGGATTTAATAACTATTATGATCAAGGATATGGAAATTACAATAGTGCCTATGGTGGTGATCAAAACTATAGTGGCTATGGCGGATATGATTATACTGGGTATAACTATGGGAACTATGGATATGGACAGGGATATGCAGACTACAGTGGTAAGAATATTTAACTTAATTTCCTAAACCAATGGTATTGAAATTGAGTGTTACAAGTACAGTCCTGTTTGGAAATTGTTTCAGTGTATGTTGGTTTTTCTGTTACTGAAGTTTATGGAGTTTTGTAGCATTTAATAGACTCATTAAGATATTGGTGCTTGTAATTGTTTCAAAACATGCTTTTCATTTTTATTTGGAATATAGACTTTCAACTATTTGACAGCTGATTTTCTTTCATGAAACCATTTCATAGAAAACTATTTTAATGTAATTTTTGTCTTTTAAAAATAGGCCAACAGAGCACATATGGCAAGGCATCTCGAGGGGGTGGCAATCACCAAAACAATTACCAGCCATACTAAAGGAGGACATGGGAGAAAACAGGTGTGTATAAGAATACAAGAAATCAGTGGAAATGTCTAATTTAATTTAAAGATCAATAGACAAATGAAAAACAAGTAAAAACAAAATATTATGTAGCCTGTTTTTACTAAATTGTTTATTTTTTAATTGCTTTATGAGCCTGTTTTGCTTTAAAGTGTCTATAGATCTTTAACTTTAAAGTCTGATCTCACCTTTTTTAGTATTACAGAAAAACTTAAGAGTTTTTCTGTTTGCTTTGTGTACCAGGTGATCTAGAGGAATAATTAAACTTTTTTAGAACTATTAACAGGTAAAGTACTGAAATGGGTACAACTTAAGGAAAACAAGAATGTTGTCTTCTAACTCTGACATTATACCTTGTTTGTACCCGCCAGCGGGAACTTCATTGCAGGCCGTGTGTCACCCTGACCACGTCTATCTCTGGGGGTCGCACGTTGCGGGCAGAGCGCAAGGCATACACCAGAAAACGCTGTCCTGTGGTATGGTCTCTTCCAACTTCATGTACCAGCGTAAAGATTAAAGTGGAAAACTTCAGACTTTGGCTTCTTTTTTAATCTTTTTGAAGATTAAGTGTCTAAACTTAACTTAAATGGTTTTTTACAGGAGTTAAAGTACATAAATGCCTTTTTACAGCTTAATCATTTTGGTCTTCTGTTTAGTGTTGTATTTCAATTGTGGAGCCTCATTTTAAGTGTTCATTCTTTAAGATTTAATGCTTGCTTTTTCTTTTTATAGCTAATAGTGAAATCTACAAACCAAAACAAGAACTTTTAAATCTGGGATGTAAATTAAAGATCATATGCACAAAACAATTCCTTTCTTTGGAATATAATAAACTTACTAGAAATTTATGCTTGTAATGGCATTTTACTTGGCTTACTAGACATGCTTCTAGTAGACCTTAATCTAGCACATTTCAATTTGTGAATATGAGAAGATTGCATTCTCAAGTTCTCTTCTGAATAGATTTAAATTCAATACCATTTGAGGATGCCAGGATGAGTTTACTAACTACCCAAACTGTTTTTTCAATGAATATGTATGTGATCTTTAATTATTGAAGAAAAGAATAAAGTGAGGACTTAAAACAATTCATGAAAGTGGACCTTTGAAAGCTTGTCAGAGTTGTACAAAATTAATTGCTGTTTTGTTTTTGTTTTTAGGAGGAGATGCTAAAGTAACCCATCTTGCAGGACGACGTTGAAGATTGGTCTTCTGTTGATCTAAGATGATTATTTTGTAAAAGACTTTCTAGTGTGCAAGACACAATTGTGTCCAACTGTATATAGCCGCCAATTAGTTTTCTTTGTTTTTACTTTGTCCTTTGCTATCTGTGTTTTGACTCGATGTGGATTTGTGTTTATACGAATTTTATTTGTATGATTTCATGTTAAACCTCAAATAAATGCTTCCTTATGTGATTGTTTTTCTGTGTCAGGTACTAAATAGCTCTGTAAAAAAAAAAAAAAAAATGTAATATTGAATAAGCAATAATTAGGTCACAGTTCGTTTCATAGGAAGTGTTGGTACATAGGGAGAAACTCCTTTATGAATAGCCAGCCACCTTGTCACCTTATTACCCATTTTTATGGATGTATTCTATGCTCTAAGGCTTCATTTCCCTATTAACTGACACTTTGACCCCATTAAAGTTCATCAGTTGTCTGCTGGAAAAATCTTTAGCTAATCACCCAAGGCTGTTAACAGTTCTCTTGGCAAAAATTTCCAGATATACACGAAGAACACTGATAGCTACGTTGTACTTAAAAATGTCAAGGTGTGCTTAGCAAATTATATAAAGATTTTAGAAGTGGAAGCTAAAGGTGTTAAATCAAAAGATGAGGTGAGTATTTGCAGTAGTGGCAAAATAAGTTCTGTTGGTATTATAGCCATCACCAAAGTGAGCAGGATGTCTTAAATTGTACATTCTTGGGAGCCTATGGTTGTGAGTTCTTAGAAAAAGTTGTGGTAGTGAATCCATCGGTTTTAATAGTTTATGAGCTGAGTAGTTAAGCATTTCTGTATTCAGATTTAGGAGTATTGGAAGAGATTTTGAATCTTGCCAGTGTGAATGAACATACAAGTGTAGCTTGACTTTTATGACATTATAGCAAGTCTTCTGATACACTGAAAAGGAAATGAAACAGGTTTATTTTAGGTTTTTAAAGATGTCCTGGGTACCGAGATCCCAGCTTTTAATTTTGTATTCAGTGTAGTTGATTGGATTTAAGGAAAAGTTTATTTCTGTAGTTCTCATTAGTCTGCTTCCTTCCGTGTTACATTTGGCATACTCAGATGTGCATGTGTAGACATTTGATTTTGCCCTGAAGTAAATTTTATATATGCTGATAGACTTGTTTCTCCCTTGTGTGCCTACAACTTTTCTTGTTCCTATGATGTTTGTATTCACTGGGCTATCAAGTTAAAATGCTTTTGGCCTGTTTTGCCTCTGTGTTGCTATTTGACGTTAAACCCAGGTGGAGTACCAGTGTTGGCTATCACAAGGGATTCTGTTCTCCATTCTTTGAATATGCAACCTTAGGGAACTGAAGGAAGATAATTTCATTTTAAGTATGTTACCAAAGTCAGTGGGTGCAGTGTCTAGAGTAGTAAATCCTGTGAGTTCAGACGACAAACTGACATTGAGATTGTCTTTCCCTGATCAATACTGAATAAAGCCTTTTTTATTAAAAAAAATAAATTCCAAGCTCTTCAGTCAAGTCTTGATATAGTTGACTTAGGAAATCTACATGTAGAAGTTACTGAGATGGTCCACAAAAGATTGGGAGTAAGAGGGAATTTGGTTGGTTTTTTTTTTTTTTTCCCCTGATGGCCTTTTACTCTAGATTGTTCAGATTTCACGAATTCTGTTTTAAACCCTATAAATGTTCACCAACCAAAGTGGTAAATTTGAAAAAATACACCAAGGATAAGTGTTCTAGGCATTTATAGTTAAAACTGTGAACTTAGTATCAAAGTTCCATTTTGGAGTACTAATGCAGAACAGTTGAATAATTTGATAAACTCAATTGAAAGATGGGGATAGTAGTGGCATTCTGAAGTATCTATGGCATTCAGGCATACTCAGTCTTGTTAAATATTCTTGCTGAATTATTTTGACCAACTTCTATGTGCTGTTAATGCATCTTAACAGAAACCTAATTGGCAATACTGGTTGAAATGGGACTATACAATGTTAACATTACATAGTCATAGCCATGTTTCTAAGATTAGGGGTATTAAAAATTAAGATGTCTGTTGGAGTATAAACATAAAGTATATTCCATCACTCTTAGGTGCTGTTTTATTTTCAAAATGGTGACATCTTTTGCTACTTTTTATAATGCAGGGGCATCTATCTGCACAATTAGCTTATCACTACCCATGGTGCAGGGACCTGGCAGTGTTTTGATTATACATAGGGTCACTGGGTTGGAGCCAACTTACCAGCACCTAAAAGCAACAAGTCATGATTACCAAGATTTGATCAGGTATCAACCATAGGATAAGTTTCACAATCCATAGTAGGTGATATTTCTGTATAAACTATGTAGGTATGCTATGTGAAATCCTAGCATTAAGCAAAATTGGGCAACATCAATCTGCAAAAATTTGACCTTTGTTTACTTGAACTACATCCTGGTAGAAGAGTCATCTAATCTATGGTCTCAACTTTTTGAGCAAAAGCCATGCAGTTTCTATGTTGTTAAAGTAATTCACAATGTATTGCTATAAAAATATCGGCTACTGGATAGGGATTTTATGTTTTGTCTTGAAATGATTGGATGTGGAAATTGAGACTATTGAATAGTAAACAATAAAAACACACCTTTGACTTCTCAACTCACTACCTTTTATAAACTATAGGAAAGAATGTGACACCCCAGGGTAATGTTAAATGTTCTGAAGACTTCTTGTGCCACTCTAAATGGCAATTTAATCTCAGATTTTACCCCTTAGTCAGTATTCACTCAAGGATTGAATGAGTTTGGGGAAGTGTATCATAACCTTCAAGGGTGGTTAGCATTGAGGTGTAGCCTTAAAAAGATATACATAGTCTGCTGTAAGTTACACAGTCTCTGCTATAAAAAATGTGTTATGTGTCGTCGAGTCGAACCCGACTCATAACAACCCCTTCCCTGGGTTTCCGAGGCAGTATCACTATGGAAGTAGATTGCCCCATCTTCCTTCCGAGGAGTGGCTGATGGGTTTGAACCGCCAGCCTTCTGGTTAGCAGTCAAGTGCCTTAGCCACTATGCTACCAGAGCTCCCATAAAAAATGTAGGAGTTTCAAATTATAGAATGCTTAAGCTTTTGGGTGATCTAAGACCAGTACAAGGAGCTCTGGTAGCATAGTGCCTGAGGCACTGGACTGCTAACCAGAAGGCTGGCAGTTCAAACTCAACAGCCACTCCTCAGAAGGAAGGCTGGGCAATCTACTTCTGTAGTGATATCACCTTGGAAACCCAAGAGGGGTTGCTATGAGTCGCGTCAGACTCGACAGCACATAACAACAAGACCAGTACAAGTTACAAGAGAAACTATCCTGCAGACACATATTCTCATATATTCCAATGATAATCTTTGGGCCAAAATCTGACCAAAAAAGTTCACTTTAGATGGAAATTCAAATATCTATACATAGATAACTCTCAGGGAAAGTACATACTTTGAAAGTCATTTGGCTTAAAAGATGCTTCAAGTTGTTAGCTTTTGTAATAGCACACCAAATGTGTGGAATTTGCTTCCATTAATGAGGTTGCACTAAGGGACTTTTTTCAGATGGTCTCATCCTGGTATTTCTGTTTGTGTAGGTGAACATTCACATAAGGTGATTGTTTTGTCAATGAGACAAGGACGGTTAATGTAACAAAAAGCCCACTTCAAAATCTTGACTTATCCCCTAATTTTTCAAATTGTAGGAGTTAACAAATTAATAAAAAGAACTCTGATTGAATTTTGGAAGCTATCTTAGTTTCCTAAGACTGCTGTAACAAAAGAGTGACTTAACAAGAACAGAAGTGTATTTTCTCACAGTTCTGCCTGCTAAGAGTCCAAATCCAGGTATGGGCTGTGCTGATTGCTTCTGAGGAGTCAGAGAAACCTGTTCCATGCCTCTCCTGCCTTCCAGTGGCTTCCCTCATTCTTTCGAATTCTTTAGTTTGCATCTGCTTCTGTAGTGACATGGCTGTCTTGTTCTCCACTTGATGAGATTAATACCCATCTGACTGCTAACCAGAAGGTTGGTAGTTCAAGCCTGCCAGCCACTCCACAAAAGCAAGACTGGGCAATCTACTTCCATAAAGATTTACTGCCTCAGAAACCCAATGAGGGTCGCTATGAGTTGAAATCTACTCAACAGCAGTGGGTTTGGGGGTTTTTTGTTGTTCTAATTCCCTATGACCTCATATTAACTGACACCTTCAAAGATCCTATTCCAAACATGATCACTCCCACAGGTATCGGGTTAGAACTTCAACATACTTTTCTAGGGGGCACAATTCAATCCATAACAAACTATTAAACTATCAGGCATATTTGAGGTCTACATTTTGAACAGTTGTCACTGTTCACTGTTTTGAGAATGGCCTTTAAGCGTGAAGATTGGCTACTGTTTGTAGTTGCTGTTGAGTTATCTCTGACTCAGTGACCTTATGTACAATAGAATGAAACACTGCCTGGTCCTGCACCAGCCACAATTTTTGCCAAACCTGAGCCCATCACTGCAGCCATTGTGTCAATCCATCTTGTTGACAGTTTTCCCATTTTTCTCTAACCCTCCACTTTACCAAACATGATATCCTTCTCCAGCGATTGGTGCCTTCTGACAACATGTCCAAAGTACGTGAAATGAAGTCTGGCCACTCTTTCTTCCAAGAAGCATTCCAGCTGCATTTCTCCAGGACAGATCCTTTGTTGTTCTGTCAGTTCATGATACTTTAAGTATTCTTTGACAACACCACAACTCAAAACCATCAACTCTTCTTCAGTCCTCTTTATTCATTGTCCAGATTTCACATGCATATGAGGCAATTGAAAACAGCATGGCTTGGGTTGTTGTTAGGTGCCGTCAAGTCGTTTCCAACTCATAGCGACCCCATGCACAGAGAAGAAAACACTGCCCGATCCCACGCCACCTCACAGTTCCTGCTATACTTGAGCTCATCATCACAACCACCATGTCAATCCATCTCGTTGAAGGCCTCCCCCACTTTCGTCGACCCTCCACCCTACCAAGCATGACACTCTTCTCCAAGGGATTGTCCCTTCTGACAACATAACCAAAATAGGTGAGATGAAGTCTGGCCATTCTCATATCGAAGGAGCATTTCGGGTGTACTTCCTCCAGGGATCCAGGTGAGGAGAGGGAACCCAGGCACGCCCAAAGCAGCAGGGCGGGAGAGTGGGAGAAAGGGGATTAAAAGCCAGGAACCTGGACAGAGGAGCAGTCAGCTGCAGGGAACCAGGTGAGGAGAGGGAACTCGGGCACACCCAAAGCAGCAAGGTGGGAGAAAGGGGATTAAAAGGCCCAGGAATCTGAACAGAGGAGGAGTCAGTCGCAGGGACCCAGGTAAGGGTGGTAAGAGAGGTTTCCAACAGGGAGACAAACTTGTCTGTTGGTTTGTCCTAC